AGTTAGGTTATAAAGATATGATTAAAATAATTTTCAATTATAAATAAATTATATACTTTTTTTACATTAATTATTCATTTATTATTTAAAAATCACGTTTCAAATTGATGAAGGATTGTCAACTAAACAACTAAACAATGGAATAGAGTAATTTCTAATATTGTCATATTGTTGTCATACTGAATAGAAGAGAAATTAAATAAATTATAGATTTTTACAATAAATGAAGGTAATGAAGGTAATGTAATTTTGATTATTAAATTAATTTGTTTAAAAACATGAAGATAATATTCTAACAATAAATTTATTGTAGGTATCGTTTGCTGTAATCTAGTATAATGAAGTAGGGTAAGATAGAAAGACCATGAAGCTTTCTTTATTTATAATTCTTATATATTATTTTTTTATTAGATTGGCAATTTTTTTCTACATAATAATGTAATCTGAAATCTGATACATATTTATGTTGATCATATGTAATCATATGAATATTTCTAACTGTAAACTAATAATTGATTCTTTTGTACAGACAAAGATTCAGCTGTTATTTATTATTCACTTCCTAACTTTCGAGATAAATTCTCGAAATCTCGAAAAATTTCTTGCTCTCCTGAGAAAACAAGGTTTCGCGTGGCGATAGACAGAAAGAAAAGAAAACAAAAAGACTGGAATCGGAGAGATCGTACATCGAAATATCAGAGACTGGATTGCACGTTTCATTGTTGACTGTCGTTCGTCGTTCCGTTTAACTATTCATTTCATTTCCCTTGGAACGATACTGAAACACTTGACACGATTTCTGAACTGTTCTCTCGTTGTTAATGCAGCAACCGAGGTATTTTATTTCCTATTTCCCTTTCTCTCTTTCTCTCTTCTTCTACCTGCAACTTCAGCTTTCGTTTGACATCAATTTCAAGTATTGCGCTCAAAGTTTTTCACTAATGACAATAACGTTATTTCGCTTTGCGTAATCTTTATCAGTTTTTTTTTCCGACTTGTTCTCGAATAGCTTATTATTTTATTTTATTCTAATTGGAAATGAAAATATTAACATTATTATTCCATTTGTTAATATTTATTAATGTTGATTTCATCGTTTACGATAATTCGTTAAAAGTTATCTGATTAATCGATTTAAAATTTTGACAAGAAATGAACTATCATTAAAATGATGCATCGACGATAATTTAAACGGATTATTCTCAAAAAAAATAAGATTTATTATTATTAAATTTAGTCTTTTCCATTTCTTCATTTTCTTCTTCATCCTCCTATTATATATCTTCATTTATCATGCTCTCTTTTACAATTATTAATTCTTTTTTAGCCTTCTTATTTTTAATCTTCCTCGTCCTTCCACTCATTCGCACCGGATCACTTGAGACAGTCGCGAGAGATTGTCTCCTTCGACTCCATCTTAGAGGAGACAGAAGGGTAGCTTTTTCCTGAGAAGTGTTTGCGTTTGCAGCGCGAGAAATACGGCATCGTCTGGCCGTAATTACGTCGAAACGTCGTAGACGACGAGCTGTAGAGAGGTTAGAGAGAGCGAAATATTCACAGGAAGACGGCACCTGTCGCTTCGGCCTGCAGAATTTCCGGGATACGAAGATATGTGTCGCGTTCCAACGCGAGAATGGAACTTGATAAAAGGGTAGAAGGAAGGACGGGCCATTGATAAAGGTTGGTAGGGATGCAGCAGAGAGGAAAGGCCGTCGAGTTCGTAAGTTCTTCATGCCTCGTGTCTTGATACACTTACAAAGATTAACTTTTAAAGTGGTTTAGGCAACCAAGATTCAAGAAGGCGAGTTTTATTACTCAATTTGGATGATAGACGAACAAGCGTGGGAGAAAGAGTACGTGCATGCCGCATATTTCAAGGCCCGGTTGGGAATATTTGGAAATTAATGAGATAACGTTCCTGCAGCCGCGAGAAGAAAACTCGCACGATGTCGTAGGAGAGGCAATTCTCCTGAGGAACAAATTGTGAACACGCGAGATGATGTTGAGGTTCTAGGTCGTTGGATCAAGAGTTTGAGGAGTGGAATGTTTGGTGAGGAAGGTTAAATAATTTGAGGTAGAATATCGCGGGGGTTGAAAAGAGAATGTGACGAGGAAACACGGAAAAATGATTTGTCAGAAGATGTGTATTTTTGTATATATCGACGAGTATGGAAGTATGAACGAATTTCAAAGATAAAACTGAAAGGATAAAAGTGAATTAAAATTTGTTGTTGCAGAAATTTTAAAACTAATAGCGAGAGAGAGAGAGAGAGAGAGAGAGAGGAGGAGGGAGGAGGAGATAGT